TGCTGGAGCTGGAGGTACTACTTTTGCTGCTGGTCCTGGAGGTGCTCGTACTGGCGGTACTGGAGCTGCTGGGACTGGGGGTGCTGGGTCTACTTTGTCGAGGCGGGAGCTACTCTCTCCGCACAAGCTGCGCGAGTGGTTTGCCCGCCGCTGGAGCCGTGCTGCTGGAGCTGGAGGTACTACTTTTGCTGCTGGTCCTGGAGGTGCTCGTACTCGCGGTACTGGAGCTGCTGGGACTGGGGGTGCTGCTGGGGCTGCTGGAGTTAGTCCTGCTGGAGGTATTGCTGGAGCTGCTAGCGGTGCTGGAGCTGACGGTCCTGATGGAGTTCGTGCTGCTGGAGCTGCTGGAGCTTGAGCTGCTGGGGGTGTTGGCGCTGGTGTTTCTACTGGCGCAGGTGCTTCTGAGGGTGCTGGAGTTGGCGTTGTTGGAGCTGGAGGTGCTGCCGGCACTGGTGCTGCTGCTGGGGGTCTGGTGCTGTCCCTGCTGGTTCTGGAGGCGCTGCGTGGCCGCGGTCATACTTCGTTCCGCTCCTTGAGCAGGTTCTTGGTCTCCCGCTCTCTACTTGTCCTGCTCCTCCCTTAGAGTGTCCACAGCCTGTGCAGTCGCAGTCACAGTTACAGCCCGCCTCCCCCCTACCTGCTCCTTCTCCCTACACTGGTCCTACGGGAGGTCTTGCTGAGCGTTGTGAGCCTGCGTCTCGTCCTGCGTTGCCTTTTTGTGCTGCTCGCACTAGTGGTCATGCTCCGCGTCCGCGTCCTCCTACGGTCCGCGGCACACACCAGATGGCATTGCGTCCTTCCACTGCTCCTCTGAGTGTCCCGTTGCCGTCTCCTCCGGAGTCCTCTCTTCCTACTCTTGCTGACCCGGAGTCTGACTATCTTCATGCTGCTAGTCCTACTGTCACGCGTCTCCTGGCTACTAGTGTCAATGACCCTTCTTTTGAGTCCACTGCTGCGTCTGCCTTAGTTGCTGAGCTTGTCGACTTTGCTGCTCGCTGTCGTCTAGACTACGCTGCTAGTCTTGTTGCTGAGTCTGAGTCTGTCTGTCCTCCGTCCGTCGGGGGTGATTGTGCTCTTAGCACGGTTGTCCTTGAGGACAGGCAGGAGGAGTTCCAATGTTTTGCTGCTGCTTTGCCTCATCTCGTGTCCACGCTGTTTGCTCCTGAGGGAGACCCGGATGCACCAGACATCTCGACTCCTCGATCGTACGCTGAGGCGATCGAGGGTCCCTACTCCTCACAGTGGCAGTCAGCCATGGACGCAGAGATGGCTTCCTGGAAGTCCACAGGCACCTACGTTGACGAGGTTCCCCCACCTGAGGCGAACGTCGTCAGTGGCATGTGGATTTTCAGGGTGAAGCGGCCGCCGGGTTCTCCGCATGTCTTCAAGGCGCGTTACATGGCTTAAGGCTTCAGTCAGCGGCAGGGAGTTGACTACTTTCAGACCTTCTCTCCCACCCTGAAGATGACCACTCTTTGGGTGCTGCTGCACATAGCCGCTCAGCGCGACTACGAGCTTCACTCTCTTGACTTCAGCACAGCTTTTCTGCAGGGCGGCCTGCACGAGGAGGTCTGGCTGCGCCGCCTACCTGGCTTCACTGGGTCTTTTCCTCCTAGTACCCAGTGGAGCCTCCGGCGGCCAGTCTACGGTCTCCGCCAGGCTCCCCGTGAGTGGCACGACACACTGAGGACTACACTTGCGGCTCTTGGGTTTGCTCCATCTACTGCAGACCCGTCGCTGTTTCTGCGCACCGACACCTCTTTGCCGCCGTTCTACATCCTCGTGTACGTCGACGACTTGGTCTTTGCCACTGCTGACACGGCTGGACTCGCCCACGTGAAGTCCGAGCTGCAGAAGAGACAGACGTGCACAGACCTGGGTGAACTGCGCAGCTACCTTGGCTTGCAGATCACCCGGGACAGAGCACAGCGCACCATTACCCTGACTCAGTCACACATGGTGCAGCAGGTCCTTCAGCGCTTCGACTTTACGTACTCCTTGCCTCAGGCCACTCCTCTGTCTACTCGCCACTCGCTCTCAGCTCTGCCTTCGGATGAGTCTGTAGAGCCGAGTGGCCCGTACCCAGAGCTTGTTGGCAGCCTCATGTACCTGATGACCTGCACACGACCTGACCTAGCATACCCTCTTAGCATCTTGGCACGCTATGTTGCTCCTGGGAGACACCGACTAGAGCACATGGCTGCAGCAAAAAGGGTGTTGCGCTACTTGTGCAGTACGTCGGGAATGGGGCTAGTGCTTGGAGGGCGACGTCCAGTGGTCCTCACGGGTCACGCAGACGCTTCTTGGGCTGACGACCAGGCTACACAGCGGTCGTCACACGGTTACACATTCAGCCTTGGCTCCGGCTCTGTTTCTTGGCGGTCTACCCGCTCGTCTTCTGTTCTCGGCTCCTGCTGTGAGGCTGAGATCTACGTGGGGGCCATGGCTGCACAGGACCTTCGCTGGCTAACCTATTTGCTGACTGACCTAGGAGAGCCGCCTTGTTCTCCTCTAGTTCTGTACGTAGACAACAAGGCCATGCTGGCCTTGTGTCAGGAGCACAGACTGGAGCACAAAACAAAGCACATTTCTCTTCGCTACTTCCTTGCTCGTGAGCTGCAGCAGCGTGGTCAGCTGCGCCTTGCTTACATGGCCTCTGAGGCCAACACTGCTGATATCTTTACTAAGGCACTTCCGCCTTGTGATCATCAGCGCTTCTGTATGATGCTAGGTCTTGTGCCTACTTGGCCTCACTTGCTCACTTCTTGACCTTGCTTGTACCGTGATCTTTCTATACCTGCACTTGCTTGTTTACCTTTATATATGATCTTGCATGTGAACTGGCCTTGTGGCCTTGTTCTTGTGCTCGGACTGTTTGGTGACGTTGTGATCCACCTTGAGCTTGCTTTGCTTTAATTGACTGGTCTTGTGACCCCTTGTTCTCCCCCACTTTGCCTATGGGGGTTATTCAAACTCATTTGCTATAGTCTGTGTAGGCTATAGTGGGGTAGACAATATGGGGTACAACACTTTTAGGTTTTCCTACTTGTACCCACCTGCTTGCTAGTTCATTCATTCCTTCCTCATTTCTTCACATAATGAGATGTGTGCAGGTGGTTACTACGCAATCCATTGTGGCGCTTCCCAGTCAAACAAGATTCGCCCAACCGAGAGCTCGTCATGAGTCGGATCATTGTCTTCTTTGTCTTCAACATATCCCCCTTCTTCTTCGGCCGGTGGGTCCCTTAACATGTCTTCCCACCTGCGGAATTCGCGGTACTTACGGCTGATTTGGGTAGGTCCGTGTCGCACCATGCATGTTAACACCTTGTTCTTGCCTTTGTTGTCGTTATCTGCTGGAATGCGCGCAGGAGCTTGCGAAGTGCTGGCGCCGGCGGGTGGCGACACAGTTTGGTTGCGCGTCGGTGGTCCGGCGGCTTGCTAGTACGGTGTCGTTCCCGATTGCCTTTGCACATAGTTGTTGTTATTGTCTTCTACTCCTTTGCGCTTGTAGCATTCCTTGATGGTGTGACCCATCTTCTTGCAGTATTTGCAAAACAGTTTCCTTTTATTTGATGCTGATTCTGCACTTCCCACGTAAAAGGAAAATCTTCTTCTTATTGCCTCTTTCGTTGTACAGGTCGATCTCCTACTGCTCCGCAAGAAGAGTAGCGCAAAGCGTGGTTCCAGATATTGCGCCTTGAGTGTGAAGGAGTGACTTACAAGGATGCCACCTCGGACCCAAACCAATAAGGATGATTGTTACAAACATGTCGTCATAGAAGTTTCTGCCTCTTTTCTTGAATTGATCCTTCAAATTCCAACAACAATTGATATATATTCATTGTCATGAACGATTCTGACCTTGTTGAGCTGGTTTAGTAGACAACTAAGCGTCACTGAGTCCATTGCCATGTATAAAGTACGCAGATACTCTGAATACTGTTGTGCAGTGCGGAGATAACTCATTCAAGGAGAGCTTGACTACGGGCTAGGCACGGGGTAGGAGTGATCCTAGCGTTCGTTCCTTAGTCGTTTCCTTGTGCTCATACAGATTGCTAGTTCATGGGGAGAATTGGCAAGAGTTTCGCTAGGAAAACATGACAACAATATCTCAGAATAATAGTAACAAAGTTGGGAAGAGTGACTACATCAGGGCTAGCATGCAAGTCGGTCGACTGCTAGCGCAGCACGGTAGACCTCATTCCAGCAGTGCAAAGTCGTGGCTCGCCAACGCTGCAAGTCGACGGCGTCCCAACGCTGCAGCAAGACGGCTGCAAAGCGTTGCACCTGCATGACGACGGTGCTCCTGCTTTGCAGGTGCGCGCAGCTGATTAGCGGGCTGTGTCTTGTCACCTGCAGAACGCACACACCAAATCATCCTCGTGGTGACGAATGCTCATGATCAGCCACGTCAACCTCAGGATACCACACCGAAGTCGGCCTCGCCACGAACCACCTGGGCGACCATCGTGTCGAGAATCTAGCGAGGCTTAGGAGCCATGGCTAGTGAGGTAGGAGAAGTTGAGTTCGAGTTGAAGGAAAAGTGTCGAGAGAATGAGGGTTTCACTATAGGTTCAAGGGTACAAATATGAGAGAACAAGTAAGAAAGGTGCACCACCAAATAGGAAAACGCTTTAACTACAGTAGCCAATCCTACAGGCAGTTACATATAGAAAATATTAAATTATATTTTCCGACACGCCCCCATAACTGGCTGTAGGAGATGAGTATGCAGTTAGCGCCCTCTGAAGGGGTACATCACGATTGCGCAGGAGGAGAAAAGTGTTTCAATAATACCACTCCCCTGGCTCCCCCACACCCTCACACCCTCCCACCCTCCCCCTCCCCCTCCCCTTCCCCCTCCCCCTCCCCTTCCCCCTCCCCCACACACTGCTGCAGGAGCAGCAGAGGGGGGAAGAGAGGAGAGGTGGAGGGACGGCTGCTGGGTGGTCTCACACCCGCCACCCCAGTGCCACTCCCCGGGCTCCCCCACACCCTCACACCCTCCCCCCCAGCGGCAGCTGCAGCAGCGGGAACAAAAGGAGGAGGAGAGGGGGGTGGGGGGGGGGGGGGGGGGGGCGACGCATGGCCTCCCCGGGCACCAAAGCAGGCGGCAGAGGGGGCGACGCCTGCCCCCCCCTTCCAGGTCGCCCCTCCCGGCACCTGTCGAGGTGACCTGAGGGGGCCGCGTGCGGCCCCCGAAGGAGCCGCGACGGGTGACGGGAAAAGGGGGGGGGGGGCGGTGCACGTGCCCCCGGTGTGCCGCGGCTGGCGACGGGGCATGGCCGGGGCGGGGTCGGGGCCACAAGTGGGCGGGGCCGCATGTGGCATCGGGGCCGAAGTGGGCGACGGGGCCGCAGGTGGCGACGGGGCCGCAGGTGGCGGGGCCGCAGGTGACGACTGGGCCGAAGTGGGCGACGGGGCCGCAAGTGGCGACGGGGCTGGGGCCGCAAGGAGGCGACGGGGTCGGGGCCGCAGTTAGGTGACGAGGCCGGGGCCGCAGGTGGGCGACTGGGCCGGGGCCGTAGTAAGGCGACGGGGCCGCAGGTAGGGGACGGGGCCGCAGGTAGGCAACAGGGCCGGGGCCGCAGGTAGGCGACGGGGCCGGGGCCGAAGGAAGGCGACGGGGCCGGGGGTGCAGGTAGGCGACGGGGCCGTAGGGCCGCAGGTAGGCGACGGGGCCGTAGGGCCGCAGGTAGGCGACGGGGCCGTAGGGCCGCAGGTAGGCGACGGGGCCGGGGCCGCAGGAAGGCGACGGGGCCGTAGGGCCGCAGGTAGGCGACGGGGCCGTAGGGCCGCAGGTAGGCGACTGGGCCGTAGGGCCGCAGGTAGGCGACGGGGCCGTAGGGCCGCAGGTAGGCGACGGGGCCGTAGGGCCGCAGGTAGGCGACGGGGCCGTAGGGCCGCAGATAGGCGACGGGGCCGGGGCCGCAGGAAGGCGACGGGGCCGGGGCCGCAGGTAGGCGACGGGGCCGTAGGGCCGCAGGTAGGCGACGGGGCCGTAGGGCCGCAGGTAGGCGACGGGGCCATAGGGCCGCAGGTAGGCGACGGGGCTGTAGGGCCGCAGGTAGGCGACGGGGCCGGGGCCGCAGGAAGGCGACGGGGCCGGGGCCGCGGGTAGGCGACGGGGCCGTAGGGCCGCAGGTAGGCGACTGGGCTGTAGGGCCGCAGGTAGGCGACGGGGCCGTAGGGCCGCAGGTAGGCGACGGGGCCGTAGGGCCGCAGGTAGGCGACGGGGCCGTAGGGCCGCAGATAGGCGACGCGGCCGGGGCCGCAGGAAGGCGACGGGGCCGGGGGCGCAGGTAGGCGACGGGGCCGTAGGGCCGCAGGTAGGCGACGGGGCCGTAGGGCCGCAGGTAGGCGACGGGGCCGTAGGGCCGCAGATAGGCGACGGGGCCGGGGCCGCAGGAAGGCGACGGGGCCGGGGCCGCAGGTAGGCGACGGGGCCGTAGGGCCGCAGGTAGGCGACGGGGCCGTAGGGCCGCAGGTAGGCGACGGGGCCATAGGGCCGCAGGTAGGCGACGGGGCTGTAGGGCCGCAGGTAGGCGACGGGGCCGGGGCCGCAGGAAGGCGACGGGGCCGGGGCCGCGGGTAGGCGACGGGGCCGTAGGGCCGCAGGTAGGCGACTGGGCTGTAGGGCCGCAGGTAGGCGACGGGGCCGTAGGGCCGCAGGTAGGCGACGGGGCCGTAGGGCCGCAGGTAGGCGACGGGGCCGTAGGGCCGCAGGTAGGCGACGGGGCCGTAGGGCCGCAGATAGGCGACGCGGCCGGGGCCGCAGGAAGGCGACGGGGCCGGGGGCGCAGGTAGGCGACGGGGCCGTAGGGCCGCAGGTAGGCGACGGGGCCGTAGGGCCGCAGGTAGGCGACGGGGCCATAGGGCCGCAGGTAGGCGACGGGGCCGTAGGGCCGCAGGTAGGCGACAGGGCCGCTGAAAGGGCGGCGACGGGACCGCGAAAAGTAGGGCAAGGGGCACGTCACGGGGCGTGCCGAACACAGATTAGCAGCGGAAGCTGTAGGGTGGGCCCACAGGTCAGGACCTTGGTAGCTCTGATAGCATGTCGAGAATCTAGCGAGGCTTAGGAGCCATGGCTAGTGAGGTAGGAGAAGTTGAGTTCGAGTTGAAGGAAAAGTGTCGAGAGAATGAGGGTTTCACTATAGGTTCAAGGGTACAAATATGAGAGAACAAGCAAGAAAGGTGCACCACCAAATAGGAAAACGCTATAACTACAGTAACCAATCCTACAGGCAGTTACATATAGAAAATATTAAATTATATTTTCCGACACATCGCGTGCCTCCGCAGAACCTCGTCACCCAGGTAACCTGGTCGACCGGGCAACCACATCGACCAGATGCTCCTTCTCGTGCCCGTCGACCACCCAAGTCGACGACCACCTTCAGTCGACCTCACGAGGTCGACCACACCCTTGGTCGACCAGCTCCATATCGACGACACTCCTAGTTGACCAGCTCCAGGTCGACGACACTCCTGGTCGACCAGCACACCTGTCACACGACAACACCCAGTCGGCTTCCCCGAGTCTGCATCACCAAGTCGACGCCTCCAATGTCGGCCTCGACAGGTCGACCACCCGAAGTCGGAGCCCTCCAGAAATTCGACGCCCTTGAAGTGGCCCTTGTGCAGGTCGACCAACCCCGTCTATTAGCTTGCCCACTGCTGCAGGTCGGTTGCACCCCTCACACCCGACCACAAAGTCGGCACCACCCAAGCGAGGAGTGCGGAGAGTTACTACACAATGGGAGTGGTCTATGGTGGAGGGCACGGAGTTGTGCGAGTGATCGTAGCTTTGCACTAGCGTTCTTACTGCTTGCTGTGTTCACAGAGAATTCTAGCAAGAGTTTCCTCTAAGGAATTGAAAGAACAACTTGCAATGAAAAGTTGATAGTACAATGGAGGCATGCAGAACAAAAGGACTAGAATGGCATGCAATACCTAGCAAGGACGAAATCTGCCAGCGCAGCAGAACAGCGGCTTGCCAACGCTACAGCAGAGTAATCTGCCAGCGTTGCACCATGCACGTTCTGCCAGCACTGCAATCGCAGGTAACTATCTGCACTCGCAGGTTGTCTATCTGCGCAGATGTGCGCACCTACCAAGTACAGTAGGTGCAGGCTGGCGGTTTCACCGTCAGGCACATTGCGCAGGTGCCAGGTAGAAAACGTGTCGTCGGTTTCACCAGGTGCGCACCGTCGACCACGTGATGCCTTTCCGCAGGTAGAACCTCGCCAAAACCTCCTGGGCGAAAGTCTGCATGCCTCCGCAGAGTTTCACACAACGTTCGCCTTGCAGAGCTCCTCGACCCAAACTCTTCGACCAGAGTTCCTCGACCAGGATCGTCGACCAGCGCTCTTCGGCGGGAGCTCGTCGATTAGATGCTGTCGAGCAGAGCCTACTCGACCGCAACTTCCGTCAAACTGCAGAAGAACATTTCTTCTACCAATCCGTCGAGAACTTCCCGTCGACGGCGAGATCGGCTGCGCCCAAGCGAGGGCGGGGCCTTTCTCTTCGACAAGGACGGGGCCAAATACAACTCCCGTTGACATGTAGGTGCCCACTGGTTTTTGAAGAAGCGGATACCGAGCTGCTCCGCAGGCGACAAGTTGTAGATCAGGATGGTATAGGCCAGTAGTGATTCGATATAATAATGCGCCTTCTTCTGAGGTGAGCCATCGTTGGGGAAAGGTAATGTAAGGTTGTAGTACATCCAGATCTGCGGACTTTGAGCTAGTCGAATTCGTTGCTCCATGTGTAAAAATACTTCTCGTCGAATTGAGCACTTGTTCTGAGTTTCGAGGTTGATAAGAATGTGCTCCGCGTTGACGTCATTACCTCGAAATGCGCTCGTTCTGCTCGAGCAGGTTTCTACCCTTGGCGATTGTCGAAGGTGAATGAGCACTCGGAGTAAGGTCCGTAAGGACCAGAGGTCTTTTGGCGTAGCTGGAGCTTCATGGGTTGATTGTGGCTCTCTAGAGCGTTGATGCGGGTGGTGAGTTGCTTGATGAGAGCAGGATCAACTGGTGTCACTCCTGAGGGGACATTGGAGGGTTGATGGACTGGATTTTCTCCTATTGCCTGGCAGTCAGCGTTTCGCATGACGATTGCATGTACGGCCAGATATTTTAGTAATCAAGATCGGTTTGCATAACTTGATTTTAGCATCTCTTATAATCCAAACTAGCTGTCATACCATGTTGAATAGGGAAGGATTCTGGATAGGATAAGTCAGCTACAGTAGACAGCGAAACTGTTTTATAGGGGAACCTTGATCATAGTAAATGTAAATGACAAGATTGATTATAATAAAACATATAGGCAATAAATAGATCCTAGCTAGCCGTGTACTCAGATGGGTACATTCCGTTATTAACGGTAATACAGATCTCGCTATAGTGGTAGTGACTATTGCGATCCCCACAATTGCCTCGTTGTAGCCAATAAATGTGGAAAACTGAACGAGAATGAATCAACTATGAATGAAGTGAGTACAAATAGGAAACCCTAATTGGGTTGTACCCCCTATAGGATACCCCACTATAGCCTACACAAATAAGTAAGCTATAATGTTCTGACACACCCCCATAGGCAAAGTGGGGGAGAACAAGGGGTCACAAGACCAGTCAAGCAAAGCAAAGCAAAGCTCAGGGTGGATCACAAAGTCACCACACATTCCGAGCGCAAGGTCAAGGGCCACAAGGCCAGTTCGCATGCAAGATCATATATAGAGATATACAAGAGTCAAGCAAGCAAGAGCAAGAGTATAAATAGGTCAAGGTACAAGCAAGGTCAAGAAGTGAGCAAGTGAGGCAAGACAGGCACAAGACCCAGCTGCGTGCAGCAACGCTGATGATCACAAGGCGCAAGTGCCTTGGTGAAGACATCAGCAGTGTTGGCCTCAGAGGCCACGTACGCAAGTCGCAACTGACCACGCTGCTGCAGCTCACGAGCAAGAAAGTAGCGGATAGCAATGTGCTTTGTCCTGTGCTCCAGTCGCTGCTCTCGACACAAGGCCAGCATGGCCTTGTTGTCTACGTACAGGACTGGAGGAGAACGAGGCGGCTCTCCAAGGTTGGTCAGCAGGTAGGTGAGCCAGCGAAGCTCCTGAGCAGCCATAGCCCCGGCGTAGATCTCAGCCTCACAACTGGAGCCGAGAACAGAAGACGAGCGAGTAGCCCGCCACGAGACAGAGCCGGAACCAAGGCTGAAGGTGTAACCCTGTGACGACCGCTGCGTAGCCTGGTCGTCAGCCCAAGAAGCGTCCGCGCGCCCAGTGAGGACCACTGGACTGCGCCCTCCAAGCACTAGCCCCATGCCCGACGTACTGCACAAGTAGCGCAACACCCTCTTCGCTGCAGCCATGTGCTCTGGTCGGTGTCTCCCAGGAGCAACATAGCGTGCGAGAATGCTGAGAGGGTATGCAAGGTCAGGTAGTGTGCAGGTCATCAGGTACATGAGGCAGCCAACAAGCTCTGCATACGGGCCACTCGACTCTACGGACTCATCCGAAGGCAGAGCTGAGAGTGAGTGGCGAGTAGGCAGAGGAGTGGCCTGAGGCGAGGAGTACGTGAAGCCGAAGCGCTGAAGGACCTGCTGCACCATGTGTGACTGAGTCAGGGTAATGGTGTGGCGTGCTCTGTCCCGGGTGATCTGCAAGCCAAGGTAGCTGCGCAGTTCACCCAGGTCAGTGCACGTGTGTCTCTTCTGCAGCTCGGACTTCACCTAAGCGAGTCCAGCAGTGTCCGTTGTGGCAAAGACCAAGTCGTCGACGTACACGAGGATGTAGAACGGCGGCAGAGAGGTGTCGGTGCGCAGAAACAGCGACGGGTCGGCAATAGAAGGAGCAAACCCAAGTGCCGCAAGCGTAGTCCTCAGTGTGTCGTGCCACTCACGTGGCGCCTGGCGGAGACCGTAGACTGGACGCCGGGGACTCCACTGGGTACCAGGAGGGAAAGACCCAGTGAAGCCAGGTGGGCGACGCAGCCAGATCTCCTCGTGCAGGCTGCCCTGCAAGAAAGATGTGCTGAAGTCGAGAGAGTGCAGCTCGTAGTCACGGTGAGCAGCAACGTGCAGCAGTACCCGAAGAGTGGTCATCTTCGGGGTGGGGGAGAAGGTCTGAAAGTAGTCAACCCCCTGCCGCTGACTGAAGCCACGAGCCACGTAACGCGCCTTGAAGACAGGCGGAGAACCCGGCGGCCGCTTCACCCTGAAAATCCACATGCCACTGACGATGTTCGCCCCAGGAGGGGGAACAGCGTCGACGTAGGTGCCTGTGGACTTCCAGGAAGCCATCTCTGCATCCATAGCTGCCTGCCACCTAGAGGAGTAGGGACCCTCTATCGCCTCCGCGTAAGAGCGCGGAGTCGGGATGTCTAGTGCATCCGGGTCTCCCTCAGGGGCTAGCAGTACAGACGCGAGATGAGGTGAAGCGGCGGCCAGACACTGGAACTCCTCCTGCCTGTCCTCAAGGACGTCCGTGCCAAGGGCACACTCACCCCCGACGGACGGAGGACAGGCAGACTCAGACTCAGCGACAAGACTAGCAGCGTAGTCTAGACGACAGCGAGCAGCAAAGTCGACGAGCTCAGTGACAAGGGCAGACGCAGCAGAAGACTCGAAAGAAGGGTCAGTGACAGCAGTAGCAAGAAGACGCGTGACAGTAGGACTGGCAGCACGAAGAGAGTCCGACTCCGGGTCGGCAAGGGCAGGAAGAGAGGAAGCAGGAGGAGAAGGCAAAGGGGCACGCAGAGGAGCAGTAGACGGACGCAGAGACATCCGGTGCGTGCCAGGGACAGGAGGAGGACGCTGACGCGAACCACGACCACTAGTGCGCGCAGTACAAACAGGCGACGCAGGACG